TGCATGAAAACAGGAGAGGGACAGAGAGAGAGGGAGACAGGGGATCTGAAGTGGGCTCTGAGCTGACAGCAGAGAGCCTGATGCGGGGCTCGAACTCACAAACCATGAGACCATGACCTGAGCCAAAGTTGTACGGTTAACTGACTGAGCCACCTGCATACCCCACCATCAAATATTTTTGATGCTTTATATAATCCTCTTACTGTGGAAAAATCACTCCCTTTTCGCCCCAATGACCTCTGTTGCTTTCCTCTCTTCCCAAATTAATTTTGAAGTTGGATACACTTTTTCCTCTGCTCTGCTCAACCAAAACCCATTTAGGTTTTTAAACATCGTATTTTTCTTTTCTTTTTTGTTAAGTCCAGCAATGCCAGAGAATCAAGGAGGGGTTTATAAAAATCTAACAAGTAAAAAGAATCCAGCTCAGAAGTTCTCAAACTTTAATGCTATGTACACAGAACTATGTATATAATAATTTATGAATGATTTAAGAGATTTTCAAGGATAAACTTGAACGTGTGAATTTGGCCTCACACTCTCTTTAGGCCTGCATTATCATAACATCAAGAGTGGTGTGGGACTTGAGCTATTATTAATATTGCATTAGATTCCACCATTAACAAACATTCTCTTCCTGTTCCAAAGTTCCTGCCTCTAGTCAGCAGAAAATCTCTGTTCCCAGTCTCCATGGTGCCTCTAGCAGTGCTTGGCTCATTTGCAGAGCAGAGATGATTACACCCCCTGGCCCCAATGAATGAAATCTTCCCCAGGTCCCAGTTACCAGTACTCCTCACCACCCAACATTCTCTGATTGGCTTACTTGTTCACTCATCTATTCACAGACCCGCTTCCTGGCTTTGGTGCCTATGCAATAGTACAGACAACAAACAAACAATGACAGTACATCCGGGAGACCTCACAACCTGAAAGTCAGTAGGTTTCCATGAGGAACTGATATTTCAGCTGAGACAGGAAGTAGCTGGACAAAGGGGACAGGAATCCATATCTGTGTGAGGACCAAGGTGCTGGAACATTCAGAACTGTTCATGATTACAGCACGCGCAAAAGATCTCGACTGGGAAGAGAGATTCAGGTAGTGATCAGTGATGGCTCTGAGACATAGGCAGGGCCCAGAGCACCAGGGTCTTGCAAGTCGTGTCAAACAGGGACTTTGAACTTGAGCTTAAGATCCACAGGAAGGCATCGAAAGGTCAGGGGAGCCACACAATCAGGCTTACATTTTCAAGCATCATCCTGTCTACCCTGTGGAGGATGAATGGGAAGAGAGTGCAAGCGGATGTGGGGAGACAAGTGACAAGGACATAGCAGAAATGCAAGTGAGAGATGGTGCTTGGACCAGGAAAGTAGGGTAACAGGAGAAAAGGAGCTGAATGTGAGATATTCAGGAGATACGAGGGGCAGAACCTGGTGGTGAATCAGATGTGCATGTGTGGAGAGAGCAAGAAGGCCAGGAGGATTCTTGGGTTTCTCTTGAAGAACTGGGCAGCCAATGGGGGGGAAACTGGGGCCATTTGCTGGATTGGGGTAACTGGGAGAAAACGTGAGTTTGGAAGAGAAAGAGAAAGGGAAGGGGAGTCTGACATGTTGCCAGGAGACATAAAAATGGAGGCATCCAGTTGTAGCTCAGGAGAGAGATTGGGGCCAAAGACACAATTTAACTGTCGTTTTCTGTCACTGCTATATGTATAGGCAATAGCAATAATTTTAATAACATTCAAGGGGGGATCAGGGTAGTCCCTTACTGAGGCAGAAAGGAAACTAATGACTCACAAAGCACAAATCCTCACACTGAGATGCTTGATTTTCTCATATAACAGTTTGTAACATCAGTTATCAAGAGCTTAAATGAAATATGCCATAAGGTTTGGTAAACAATGATCCTTAAGATGAAATCCAAAAGTTGTGGCTGGTTCAACTAGATGGAGGGGACATTCTGGGTTTTGACCCAGGATGATTTTCCTAGCTCAGAAGCGGCCACTGCTTTGGTTTACTTAAAAGCCTCCTTCCTTGAATAAAGCCCCTGTTGTTCTGAAATGCACTTTAGAAGGGTAGAGCTTAAATAAAAATCTATGTACATATGTACACAAAATCCTATACCAAATAAATATATTCTAAAAAGTATAGAAAGTGAAATGAAATGCATGACCCTTTGAGCTCCCTAGTTCTATAGGTCTGGGGCACAGCCCAAGCATTTGTGTTCCTAAAAGACTCCATAGGTGACTCTAATATGAGGTGAGAGTGGACGTCAAGGTCAGAAAGTGTATATCATGTGCCTGGCACATAGTAGATGTTCAATAAATAGCACAAGGCAACATCGCCTGTGCAATACTCTTGCCAAAAACGTGTAACCTTAATTTAATCACAAGGAAATGTACAAACCCCAATTTAGGGCCATTCTACAAAATATTTGATCTGGATCCTTTAAAATGCCACTGTTAGGGGAAAAGAAGAAGACAATGAAGGGGGGATGGAGGAAGAGGAAGGGGAGGATCAAGACTGAGAATGAGGGAGAGAGAGGAGGAGGAGGAGGAGGAGAGAAGGAGGGAGGAGACAGAGAAAAAGGAAAAGAAACAGAAAGGGAAGTGTCTTGAATTAAAGAGACAAGAAAATAAAATGCAATACATAATCCTAGATTGGATCCTGGATCTAAAAAAATAAAACACAAACAAACAAGAAGCAACTATAAAGACCATTACTGGGACAACCATGAATATTAGAATGTAAACCATATATTAGAAAACAATAATATATCAATGTTAAATTTCCTAAGTAATTTCCTAATAGTTATATTGCAGCTATGTAGGAAAAGTGCCCTTGCTGTGAGATTTGTGGTGATGTATTTGGGGGGATGTAATTGCAACTAATTCTCAAATAGCTCAGCTGAAAACATGTGTACATATGTTCATGCATGTGTATAAAATGAAAGCAATATTGTGACAAAACGTTATCAATGAGTTGGGGCATATAGGAAGGTATTATATTATTCTTGTGACTTTCAGAAGATTAAAAAAAAGTTTTTTGAGAGAGAGTGCATGAGCCAGAGAAAGGGGCAAGAAGGGGTGGTGAGAAAGAGAGAGAGAAAGAGAATCCCAAGCAAGCTCCATGACCAGCACGGAGCCTGATGTGGGGCTCAAGCTCATGACCATGAAATCATGACCGGAGCTGAAATCAAGAGTTGGACACTCAACTAACTAACCCAAGCTCTCCCAAATATATATATATATTTATAAGAACATCAAGCAAATTATTATGTGTTCATAAAAATCTAGGCACTTAATAAACAAATAAATCATTGTTAGGGGGAAAAATTCAATAAACTTTAAATTTTCTGTAGGAAATTCACAGAATGAAGATTTGGGGGAACATCAAGCAAGGAATGACTGTCGTCCCCGGAAAATTGGCAAAATGGAAATGTGGCTCCGTGAACAAGAGGCCCGGGGACAGCTTCTCTGGGACAGTTCTAGTTCTGACTCAGATGAGTTGAGGAAAAGCGAGAAGAAACCACAAGCACTGGTCAGGACCAGGACAGAGAGAATCCCACTTTTTGACGAGTTTTTTGATCGAGAATAAAAATGCTATTCACTGACCTAGACATTGTGTGCATTGTAAGTTCGCTTTCCTGTAAAAATTCTTCAGGTTGGTTATATGAATTATTTGGAGGAAACCAATCACTATCTCTTCATTTGGAGTCTTACGGTCAATAGGTTTGTCATGTATCGTTAACTATGCTGCATAACTGCCTCAAAACTTAGGGCATTTGATTGTCCCTCTTTTCTGTGTCTTGCTGGGCTCAGCTAGGTAGTTCTTCTGCTGGCCTCTTGTGGGATCTTTGATGTAGCTGAAGTCAGAAGGCAGCTGGACTGGAGTCGTCTGGATGTTCAACCAGGGCTGTGAAGCAGTGGGACCCCACCCCTACCCCATGTAGTCTTAGAGCCTCTTTATGTGGTTGCTCTGAGTGGTCTCTCCATCAGGGTAGTGAATTTACTTTTATATGAGCACAGGACTCCCCACGGCAAACGTTCCAAGAGGAGGAAGCAGACCTGCCCAGCCTCTTAAAGCCTCAGAATGGAATGGGCTCCCCATCACTCTTACCACATCCTATTGGTTAAAGCAAGTCACAAGCCCAGATCACATATGCAAAAGAGAGGTCTGCACGAGGGCACGGATTCTGAAGTGGGGTCTGTGGGGTTCATCTTTGAGACTCGCCACCACACCACACTTTTAAAAAGCAAATTAGATCTTATAAAACAAACGGATGGGAAAGTAAAATGGATACAAATGAGTTTTTAAACCAAAGTCACAGTAATGCTACATTAGACAGTAAGCTCACTGAAGTATTCCTGCAAGTTAGCAACTTGTTATAACAGAGAGGCTACAGGAAAGAGGTGGAATAATGCCAAGTGCAGAAGGTCATTGCGAATAAAAGCTCAAAAGTAAATGAAGATCTCTTAGATTACGATGTACATCTTAGGACTCTTTAAAACTAAAAGGAATCTTAGAAATGTTCAGCTCAGGGGCGCCTGGGTGGCGCAGTCGGTTAAGTGTCCGACTTCAGCCAGGTCACGATCTCGCGGTCCGTGAGTTCGAGCCCCGCGTCGGGCTCTGGGCTGGTGGCTCGGAGCCTGGAGCCTGTTTCCGATTCTGTGTCTCCCTCTCTCTCTGCCCCTCCCCCGTTCATGCTCTGTCTCTCTCTGTCCCAAAAATAAATAAAAACGTTGAAAAAAAAATTTAAAAAAAAAAGAAATGTTCAGCTCAAAAGTTACTATTAACAAAAATTCAATTTTTAGGCAATTTTAAAAGCTTCTTTTGTGTAATATTAGGCTCCACTTTTAGCATAATCTAAAATAGTTTTAAGCCATCCAGAAGCTTCTAAGAATTTAGTGAAACTTTAAAACAAAGCAAAATAAAAACATGCTTTTAAGCCTTCACTGGGAAACTTCTAAAAAGAAAATAGGTGAAACACCACCCAAATTTGACACCCAGTACATTCAGAGCAGTCACTAAGAAGCTAAGAAGCCTGCGTGTCAGGGGACAAACATTCGTGTTCTTGCAAGGACAGAAGGCAATTAGGTCACCCCTGGGCATTTCTGCTCCCACTCCCTACTTTTCTTTTTGCATATTTCCTGCAAAAGAATACATAAATTGTTTGACCAGCCAGTCTTCTTGAAAAAGTAAGATCTCCGAGAGGAGAGACAAGTCCAACCTCTTCATAATGTCCTCACACATTATGGTGCATCTGGAAGGCTTCAAACAGATGCTGACGATAACGGGGATTAAGCATATCCTCATCGCTCTGGGCTGTGGCTTGAGACTGGACAATACCCCTTCCAGAAGCTCCCTCAACCGAGAGCTACATCAGGACATGGACCATGTCTCCTCCCTGTGGCATCCCCACTTCCTAGCAGGACATCTGGCACAGGGTTTATTATCAAATGTTTGTTGAATTCATTAATTTCTGTGCTGAGTTAACTAAGCAATTAGAAAGGTACTGGTTTCTCTCCAGCTATGCAGTTGTTCATCCTCATTTCCATCATTTCCCAAGACTCCTAGAAATACGAGGTTGATTATGCAGTAAAAAGAAGGGAATTTTTGTGTCAAAGGCTTCTGGAATTTATACATTTAAATGGAGGGCATAAATTAAGCACTGCCTTGGGTTATTGGAGCTAGACACATATGCCAGTGAGGATGTCGTAGTTCAAAATATTTTTTGGGACTCTATCAGGGCAATGCTTTCTCTGAGTTTATTTGCCCACTCCATGTGGAACTCCCCCTCATTTAATTATAAAGTCAAGAATTTGAAATTATAGTAATAACTACTAATGTGCATGGACTGCTTATTGTGTGTCGAATACTCTTGGGGGAAATGCTTTATATATTTAGTCCTCACAACAACTTTGTGGGTCAGAATTAATACCATCCCTATTTTATAGATGAGGAAACGGAGGCACAGAGAGGTTAAGTAACTTGCCAGAGTCACCCAGCAGAACTTCCTTTTGGAGAAGACTGTTGCTGACCAGAAGGGACCTGATGGGATCCAGGAGCACCCCTCTCCACTCCTTAATTCTACCTCAAACTCACCAGCGGCAGCATGTGGCATTCCACATTTTTTTTCTAGTACGTGGTGGATTTTTTGGTTTTGGGGGGCTTTTTGTTGTTTGTTTTTGAGAGGGATAATACTGCACTGGGAAGGGCCAGAGCTTTGTGGGATTATTTTTTAGCAAGGAAGAATTTCCTTGGAGGCTGATAGCTTCACTCTGGGCACAGGGCAAGATAAGAACACCTGAGAAATAGCTCAGGAGGGAAAGTTTCCAGGAATAGGGAGAGGGGCCCACAAAGGCAGATGAGAGAGCCAAGACAAGCTTACCTTCCTCACCGTTTGGTCCGGGAGCAGGATCGTGAGCAACCCCACCGGAAGCCCCATCCAGGATGGGATTCCGTTAATCAAGACACTAACAACAATTAGGATCTACCGGCCCACCTTTTCCTTTACCTCGGTTGGGGTAGAACTCGGGCATTGGGTTGGTGCTTCCTTTCAAAGCTCCCAGGTGAGGCTAAGGTACAGCTAAGGTTGAAAACCACAGCTTTAGCAGTATAAACACTCTATTTTACCAAATATATCAACTTTTGCCTTTAAAAGCAACAACTTCTGAGTTAATTTTTCAAAGGTAAGGACATGAAGCCTGGAGCTCCACAAACAGTAAGAGAATGTTCGTTTTGTTGGTAATTGTCTCAGAACACCAGCCCTTTACTTAATCTTGAATTTGTTTGGGGGCAATGTAGGGCCATCAGTAAACACAGCTGTTGCTGGTGAAAACCATAAAATTCAGGCTGGAGGCAAAGTTGTCAATTTTCTTCAACTGAAAATCTCCTGCTTTGGAAGGAAAAAGGGCTTGTCTATGGCCACATGCAGGCTTTCTCTTGTGAAAATAATATTTTCTTTCTTGCTCTGAATTTTTTGTGAGAAAGAGAAATGTCCTTTTTTGGTACCCTTTTGAAAATGTGCTTTTTAAAATTTTTTCTTTCAATTAGGAGGCCATTTTTCCTGTCTATCTATTTGGATGGTAGTTCTGAGTTACTCTGCTGGGTTTAACTAAAGGTGACTCTTGCATTGTAAACAAATGGATACCATTTTCTGCTTGCTCAGAGCCTTTAAAAACAGAAAACAAAACACTGGTTCTCTAAGCCACTCCTTTTCTTCCAAGACGGCATACCTATCATCAAATCATAATTAATATCAACTATTTTCTGCCTCGAATGAACAACAAAAGCGTATTTCCACACATTACCACAAAATGTCGCGAATTTAGAATACTGTAGGGAAGACCGGGAGAAGGTAGGCTAAGAGGTAGGTTAGGAAAGGTCAGAGCACTAAAAAATGTGAATTACAGCTCATTTTTAAAGAAACGCTTTTTTACTCAGGTGCAGAATAAGCAAAAACATTTGAAAACTAAGATAATAGTTAAGGTTTTTTTTTTTTTTTTT